CTTTCTTTCTTTCTTTCTTTCTTTCTTTCGTTCTTTCTTTATTTCTCTATATCCTTTTACCTTCTTTCTAAAATCTTTCTTTCTGTCTTTCTATCTTTTTTCATTTCTTTCTTTCCGTTCTTTCTTTCTGTCTTTTACTCCTCCCTTTCTTTCTTTTTCTTTCTTTTATTTTTTTTTGCTTTCATTCATTCTTCTTTTTTTCTTCTTTCTTCTTTCTTTTTCTCCTTTCTTTCTAGCTTTCTTCTTTCGTTATTTCCTTCTTTCTTTTATTCTATCTTTCCTTCTTTCTCGTTTTTCTGTTTTGTTCACATTAAGTATTTAACCACTGTATACATTTTACAGCAGACCGTACTACCACCCTACTTGCCCGGAAGTGACGATTTGGTTACGTCCAGGGTACTATTACTGGAGATATATTATATATAACAACGATAAGACGAGAACGTACAAGTATTGCTATAACTACTGGTATATCTCTATAATAGAGTGTGCTTGGTAGGTTATGAACTTTTCTGATATTTATATCATATATTTTTGATATATGTCGTTCTATTTTCAATCGATGTATTGTAATTTATATAAGTATGAAATAAAACGGCGCCAGTTATCGAACCTCCAAGAGGAAGATTTTGAGTTGAGCAACATTATTTGATGCTATAATTATGATAAATTTAAATATAATAAAACACCCTCAGCATTATATGGATAAGTGCTCAAATATCTTCAGAAAAAGAACATTAAAACAATCCGAACATGTACTAAATGTGTTGGAATTATTGTCTTGAGGGTAAAATTAGTCAAGTACTGCGGTTTCCGCTTGTTTGCTTCATTTTTCAACTTTCAGTCAAACGCATTTATTCATTTGCTTATAGTATATAGTCTATATAATGGCCTTTTTACGGCCCGATCTGTTGCTATGCAACATCAAGCTAATGTATCAATTTTGGTTTTGCCCTACGCAAAACGCAAAACGAGCATGCCAAAGATATATATCGCGTTGCTATGGAACTAGCATATTGTTAAAAGGTCTATTGGCATGTTTAACTTGCTTTTGGTTAAGGTGTCCGCCTCTCAACTAAGGGTTCTACAGGGACTTAGGACAGTTTCCTCGTACTATTAACTAGTTCCCTAAAGTGGACTCGGGGTGGCTGAAATAAGATTCGAGCTTTTAGTTACGGTCGTCCTGATATAAATAAGTTTCTAATTGTTTGTTGATATACGTATTGTACATTACCCTGTATCTTAGATACTTGACATGTCAGTTTCTAACATTGATCACTACAGTCATGTAGAGTGAAGGTCACGTGAATCATGTGCACGTTCACTGAGGTTTAAATAAGACTAATTTTTCTACTGGTCATCACAACGTTGACGTGAGCGGTGAAAATGTCCATCATAGAACTCCTAGTCAATTAAATTGCATATGACTATTTATATACACTTTTTAACAACTCTTGACTTTTGATTTGCAGCAATTATTGTCGTTTCAACCTCAGCCCTCACTCATACTATGACCGAAGGTACAGATGCTTGGAGGAATATAGGTAAAATAAACTTCACACCAAATTAAACTTCGTATGATCTTGTTCACTTTAAAATTAATTTTTTTTACATCACTGTTTTATTTTTCCCATTGTATAACGGTATATAGCCATGTTAGATTGTGTGTTATTAAATCATCCATCATAGTTTGTTGATACAAATGATATAAAAGTACATACATTTAAACAGGAGCATATACATGTATACCTTTTTATGTCTTCTGATAAAGCGGATAGCGCGTGCGCGAAATCACTGCTGCTAAACAAAATTGAATATTTTCTTAGGAAACATTTCATTTTGTTTTCGTATATGAGCCGTGTCATGACAAAACCAACACAATTGGTTTGCGACCAGCATGGATCCAGACCAGCCTGCGCATCCGCGCAGTCTGATCAGGATCCATGCTGTTCGCTTATCAACTCTATTACAAGTAGAGAAACTGATAGCGAACAGCATGGATCCTGATCAGACTGCGCGGATACCCACTATATTGGTTTTGTCGTGACACGGCTCATATATGTTTTCACACTTTGACAGAAAGCTTGCAGTCGTCAGGTTAGCTCAATAGGTAGAGCTTTGGACTTTGAATCGGGCGACCCAGGTTCGATTCCCGCACGGCGCAGCTGGTCACTTTCGTTGTGATTGATCATGAAATCTTTTCTACGGTCATTCGCACTGCTCAGGTATATGTGCAGAAGTATCAGTTCCTTGCGAAAGTAAATGCAACTTGTACTGGTAAACGATGCGGTGGTTGAACTGTGCACTGGAAAATTCAAAGAGATCCGGAGTGAAAACTACCAACACCACCACCACAGTAAGCTTGCTGGCGGCAACAGATTCCGCCAGTACAAACAGTTAAGACCGTGCGGTTTGAACATGGTCTGCTCTGTCCGCTAACACCAGAGTTCTGCTGTACGTATTTTAAAATGTTCAACTTTTTATTAGATTGAACTATGCAATAGTCCATTTCAGTCTCATAACAAAGAAAGCGATGTATGGGTAAAAAAATCAATAAAATCCTACCTACACTATTTTTTTAAATTCAAGTTTAATCAATTTTCAGATACGAACTAGTTGCCGTGAGATGCTACTCAGTCACTGTTAACCAAGAGGGACAAATTGTCGGAAAGCCATCATGGGGTAAAATCGAGTACAGACATATCCGACTTCCGAAAGATTGCTGCTGTCACTACTACGGTTACTACTACAGAGATACTCTCCGCCAGTGTGCCGTACCAGCTTAAACTCCAGTATGCCGCATCATCTTAAGGAAATTAAAGTTACAAAAAAAACATATTTATTTACTCTGTGTCTGCAGGCAAATTCAACCCCTCAATCAGTGCAGACCAAGTTCATCCCTGCGGTTTGTTCATGGTCTGCACTGTCCACTACTCATTGCTGTACTTTTCCCCTAAAATGATAAATGGTTTTGTCCAGACTGAAAGATGGACAAGTCGATTTAAGATATTTAGGGTGGTAATGGTTATAACAAATAAGTGATTATTCAAAATCCAAGTGGCGCTTTGCACGATTTATGCAAAATGTTGCTACAATTAACATTAATAATCGTATTTTTACCCTGTTATTAACAATTAAATCTATTTCTGTATATATATACACTTTGTAAATAAGTAAAGACACATTTTCCACGCTTTGTTATTTCTAAGTGATTAGAACACTTACTAAAATGTCCATACATAACGTATATCATGAACCTGGAGGCGTGACTCTTTAATAAGTTCTTGCTCGTAAATATGAGTCAAATATAAATATATATATCCACATAAATAAAGTTATTTTACGCATTGTCTCGTCCTCCTTTCTTTTTATTACCTTCAGATTTATTTCATATTTACTCATTATTATTATAGAGAAAGAAATTTCTCTCATTTTCATTTACTTTTCATTGAAAAACAAAATGGTGAAATATTTAGAACAAAAAACTTTTTTTATATTATCAAAAGTAATAGTATACAGCCAACCCTGTGAAAAAGTCATCCGAAGAAGAGACCATGCATGGCCTTTATAGCGAAGTGGTCTTTATTCGAAGGTTTTTTGTTGTATTTTAATCAATAAAGATTTGTTAAAGAGTTGTCTTCAATTACAGGGTGGTATTTATTCGAAAGTGGTCTCTAACCAAGGTTTAACTGTATTTCGATATTTGTTTAAACATGTACACATGTACTTACGATCAAGTCCCTTCCTATACCCCTCGGAATGCGTACGTTGCAGAGAAGGCTCACGGCATCGGCAGGAGATTATGGCGAAAAATAAACAAAGACCAGAACTTGTAATTGTGGACCAGCTGCCTATGTCCTGACTAATACCGAAGGGATTGGCCCTACAAAGTAGGCAGGGACGACGATGAATGTGTGCTAGGATGCGTGAGCCCCTAGCACAGAGAGTAACGAGTTGAAAGGCAGGCATAACAGCCCTTTTCAGGGTTACCTCCTCCTTTTCATATCGTCTCACTATGATTCTCATTGGCCGCCGTACAGTGACCTACTTTTGGCTCAAAATTAATATTGTTGGCTAAAACTGCGTTGAAATTACATGAATGTAAAGTATCGCCACTTTTTGCTTCAAAATTTACCCTTGAAGGGCATGACTTGTGACACGCGACACCACATTAACCATCGATAAAGTCCCTGGTGAACTTGACTGACATTAGTTTTGAACACGATTTATATAAGAAAATGAGAACCCCGAAGCCACACAAGCACATCTTGAACAACACGTCAGTCTATGCAAATAACTCGAAACTATTTTTCAATAGCGTTAAAGGGAGACACAGCCAAATTTTTTATTTCTTCGTTTTCAATTCTGTAAGTGTCCTCAAAATGAATACCCTAGACAGTCACAGAAACACTTTTTTTCTGATTATAAAGTACCGTATTAAATGATGGTTTTCCAACCTTGCCCACGTGGGTCAGGTTAGAGAGTTAAGATTTTATAATAGTTGTCACAGTGAACTTTTGAAACGTTAAAGAACATCTAAAATGAATGACTTAGACTTGTTTCAATCATACAATATCCACAATATCTGTTATTGCAACTTCCAGGGTTTGTTCTAGTCACAAAGCTTATTTTAAAACTACTCGGTGATTCTGTCGGCTTCTAAATTTCGTTCAACATAATATAGATATATTTACGCTTCAAATCCAAAATATTTAGAATTTAATACAGAAATTAATGCTGGGATTTTAGAAAATGTCATTTTAGCGTGATTTGAGTTCATAAGATCATTTTAATAATTTTGTCATTAATTTGCCCTCAAGTATCCTTTTAAAGGGAAGAAACTCTTACAGGCAAATACAAATTTTCTAATGCTGATTTATTTCCCTTTACAGTAAATGTCTAATTAGTGATAATACGACGTAGAAATAATCTTCTCTGCGAACGATGTAGATATCAAACAATGTACATGAAAAAATAATAAAGCAATCAAGATATCGATTGATGTTGATATCAAATGATATAAAATATAAAGTGATGTAGATATGAAGTGATGTAGATATCAAATGATGTAGTGATGTAGATATCAAATGATGTAGTGATGTAGATATCAAATGATGTAGTGATGTAGATATCAAATGGTTAGATATCAAATGATGTAGATATCAAGTGATATAAAGTATAATGTGATGTAGATATGAAGTGAGTTAGATATAAAACGATGAAGAAATCAAATGTAAATATTAATCTGATTTTATTGACCTGTTAACAAGCACGCACACACGCATATACATGCGCACACACTGGCTGCGTACAAACATACACTACTGAAGAACAAGGCCGATCTAAAGAAATATTTATAACAGTAAATAAAATTGATCACAGAGAATATATTTTTTAACAAATCCATAAAAAAACAAACCAAGACTGCATCCCCAAGACAGTTTTATAACAACACAATGATAATTATTTTTAATAGTATTTGTGAATTTGTAAAAATACATCACAACTGGAGGTAAATAACCCTTTATTAGATTTTCTCAGCAATTTTCCTACATGGATTTGGTTAAATGCACATTATGCCTCAGAAACAAATATAAGTTAATAAACTACTGTTTATTAGAAGATAACTTACGGTAATCTAAGTTAACAGTTAATCTAAGTAAACGGCTGTTTGCAATATAACCCTCGCCTAACGGCTCGGGTTAAATTTACAAATAGCCGTTTATATAGGGCCATATAACCTGTCAACGATCTTTATAACTAATAATATACATATTACGTGTATTGAGCCAAGCTATTTGAATGCTATTTTTGTTTCTGTGTTTTTTTCTTGCCTTGTTCCTTATTTTCCCGCCACTGACTGAATCATTTTCATGTAAATGGTAAAATTCTGAATTATCTACAAATGTATGTATACGGCAGTAATCATGGTACTGTCGATGTGACGATTCAGTGTAAGTCTATGACAAGCGGCGTACATGTATGTTTTTCAAATAAAGATAGAAGGGTGACAGCCGTAATTTAGAATTTAACTGACGCAATTTAATAAAGTAGAATGGTCGAATGTATATATATATGTTTCCAAAGCTACCAGTGCAATATCTCAAGTCATTGAACAATTAAATTATCTCATTTGAAAGACATATGCGGATCAAACATTTAAAACGTCCTCTGCTTGCAGATGACAAATGTGAAATTGTCTGGAATACAACAGATGATTTTTTAAAGCAATTAAACATAATGTGCCTTGCATATACAATACTTAGATTAGGTAATATTCACTTTTTCTAAAAGCAGCATTTACTTAGGCGGCTAGGATTAGGAAGTATGCGCAAGTACAAGTTATGTCCATTTTCTATTTGGGAAAAAATTATATACACATTATCATAAGCAGTCCTATGGCTTTTTGACATAAAAACATGGCTTGTAACATGGCATAGCCTATTTATACAAATTATCCTGATCACAAACTTTGCATTAATAGTCCGATTCTTACTATATTAGAATTTACATTAAACAAGATAAAGGCCAGGGGAAACAACTCTGACAATTGACAAAAAATAAATTCACCGCAATTACTGACCTTGTTAAAATCCGTAATATGTGATTAATACTTCGGAATGATAGTGATGCACAGTCCTCATTTTTAATGTGCTACCTCTATCAGTTTGTCATTGTACAAGAAATACAGACTATTTTAGTGCATGCATGTATGTGAAGGATACAAACCTCAATATTCCGTGGAATTGTAATTTGCATTAAGTGTAATTACGTCAAAATCAGTCAGAATTTAACTAGCACTGTCCATTGTTGTGATGACATTAATTCAAAAAGTTTTTTGCTGGGAGGAGGCTGTTATAATAAAAGGTCCGAGTCGGTTCACCACCGTGGTTAACACAGGTTTGTGCGATGTTAATGCTATAATTCTGAATGTTCCGTGGTGTTGTAAAGTAAAATAGAAGCAAACGTTATGTTAAGCTGGCTTTGAATTAAAGTATAAAGCAGTTCACTGCCCATTTGCTCAGCTAGTTAATTATATATCATATGTTTAAACATCATTTCGAAAAAATGTAATTGTACTAAATGCAAATACATAGGTATTGTAAACAAGCATGCAATAGTTGATTTAAACATGGAATTTTGCTTCATCTATACGTAATCTTGCAGCTCCTCGATTATTTTGAGCGTATGTCATGGTTAGTAGTATGTTACTAGTTACATGTATACTAAAGACTTTTGACAGGTTATATGGTCCTTTATAAACGACTGTTTGTATATATATTCCAAGCCGAAAGATGAGGGTTAAAGCGTAAATAACCGTTTATATACGGCCATATAACCTGTCAACAATGTTTTTAATGAATTTACAATACTGCAAACTTTCTTTATTAGAGGAAAATATGACAAATTTCATGCCAAAATATAAAAATAATCCCGTATTTATAGATTTTTTTCTCTCTTGACGATTCAAAAGGCATTCCGTTTAGTTTTGTATATTGGCTGGATTTAGACAAGTAGTTCGGCAAAATACTAGTGAAAATACGAATATATGTTTCACTGCAGTAAAAAAATAATTATTTACAGTGAAAATGCGGAAAATGTATTTACCATTTTTATTAATATTATGTGCAAGATATTGTATCAAATCTATGATTCTCATGAAAGTAACGTTTTAATGTTTTTATTATAATTGTAAACTCAATGAATTCTTCACCAACTCTTGAAAGCGTAAAACACATGTTGTGTTAGAACATTATTAGATAGGATAACAATGATTTTTATCTTCTTAAATCTGAAGATATTTTATTATTATAAATTTGTTTTGCAGCAAGAATCTGGTGAATTTTATTTCATATCAGTTTATGGTCATGTAGCTCAGCTTTTTTGCACTTTATTGCATGTTGATAAGATAATTAAAACTGAAGTAATATGTAATTAAGCTCGCTCAAAGACACACAATTTTGCATGGACAACGCCATTTCAAATTCTTATTACGAATATTGGCAAGGGGTTAGAAAATACTTATTTTGCAAGTTATCTTAAAATGTAAAGATCCCTTGTGTGTCCTAAAATCGTGCAACTATTTTAACAGTTTAAAATTAATCGAATATGTTATACAAGTATAAGGGTAGTTATTACGAATTATTGTTCTTACTATTTATCGTTATATCAAGACGAATATAAGCTTTTAGTGTGAATTTGTTTCTGATACAAGCAGTACGCAAGTTTGATTGCTACAAAAGGTGTTGCTTGCTTTTTTATTTTATATAATACACAAATATGCATACTGATTTTACGATGTGGGTCTTTTGAGGCTTTTTGTCGTATGAAAAAAAATCAAAAATGA